GCGGGGCCAGGGGTGAGAGTACGCTCGTGCGACACGAAGGCAACCTGCGATCCAGAGTATAACCTTGGAAGACTGCAGCACCAGGAACACACATCAACTAGAAGGTTGCATTCTCTGGGTTCTTCCCAGGTTTCGCTGAGCTTTGAGTAGGGAAAGTTTCTCCCTTCAGAGCATTCTAGCACTAGCTCTTGGGAAGGAAGTCCTCACTCGCAAACTGGCACCAAACAACAAATGTCATCTGAGAACTAAGCAGGGGAGGAGTCTTCCTCCTGGCCATGTTGGCTCACCGTAGCCCTGCTATGCGACCCCGCAAAAGAAAAGACCCTCCAACCAGAGAGAACCTACCAAAGTCACTGAACCTGAACAGAAGGGCTGCGGCGTGTTAAGAAAGGGGGGAACGGCCCCCCCTTGTGTGCTACTTAGTTCGGATCCTTGTCGTGGGCATCGAGAACTAAAAACCGCAACCAAGCCTTAGAAGAACGTCGAAACCACCAGCCCATGCTCAAGGCTCCCTTCGTGTGCCTGCAGGCTGGGGGGGAACTCCAGGGGGCCTCATGGGGAATTTGCAACCTCAATAAAGAAGAAGGCATCCCTCCTGAACCTACCGAAGTCAAGGAACCTGAACTCAAAAGGGGGCGGGGGAACCCTACAAGTGACGGGGTTTGACCCCGGCCACTATGAAGCATCGGATGCTCAGGCTTTTCACTTCGACTCAGGTGTCGGCTGCCATGGGGACACCCCCCGAATGCTCTCACTCATGGAAAGCTGCGTGGAGTCTTCGTCGGCGATGTGCGCTAACTGTGGAGTCTTCGTCTGAGCCATCATCTGCAGGCAGAGTTGGGGGCGGGTCCCCCGGCATCATAGCGTTCATGCCAGTGTCTTCGTGTGAGGGCTCCGGCATCGTCTGTTCGTTGCTCTCTGCATTATCCGCTAGCACGATGGGCTCGCCCCAAAGAGTCCAGTGGTCCATTGCAGTAGGTATGCGTGGGCCTCTTGGAGAGCGATCGCCACCTGTTGCTCCGTGAAGGGGAGCACACCCTCTAATATGTGTTGCGCTTTCAGGATGTTGTAGGGGGCTGCTCCCTGCTCGGGTTTGTGTTCACCTGGAAGGGCTGCTGCATGATCTGGTTGAGGGCGGGCACCCGGGCGTACAGGTACTGCATGATGTTGTTCAGGTGCAGGTACTTCACGGTGTAGACCAAGTGGCTCGGCTGTATGCGATGAGGGGTCTCCCCCTCGGTTCTCGTCGACAAAGAGGGGATGAGACAAGCTGCCAGTCGCCACCTCCGTTCTGCGACGTTTGGGGGATGGGCTCCCCGCTCCGGTGTTGGCCTGGAATTGTTTCTCTATCCATGCCAGCAACTCGTCCATGTACTTGTTGCATCGCTGGGTCGCTTGCCACGCATTTTGGAGGGCCTCGTCCAGGGTGGCCACGCCCCCCTCTTCGATTGCAAGGAAAGCCCAGCTGACTCCATCCAAGGCATTCTGAGACGCAGCCGTTCCGGGCAAGGCTCCCGGCGCTTGAGGGTCTCGAGCCCAGCTCTTGAATATGGCGCGGCCATCTTGGAGCAGGGCCTCCGCCCTTTGCAGCTCTTTGACCAGATGTCGTTTGGGCAGCTCATCGTGGTTGTGGGCGAGGCATTGGAGCGCTGCAGGCATTCGTGATGCAGAAGACCATGGCGGTGGGTCCAGCTGCTTGAGGCGGTTCTGGGTTCACCCCAGCGTGCCCAGACTGCTGCAGATGCCTTTCGTTGGTGCTCTGCAACTTTGACATGTAGTAACAAGCGTGGTAGGCGAGGCTGGTGAGGTAGTCGCTGGGTAAAGCAAAGGATTGTTGTAGCATCTCGTGCAGGATCTTTTGCAAAAGCCGCAATAGTCCCTCCACCGTAAAGTCTCCCTCAAAGTTGGCTGCCACCGAGAACCACGCTGTATCATTGATCGTTGGTTGAGGGTCCGACTCCCCCGGTCGCAGGTTTCGGGGTGTTGTTCCCGATCCCTCTGCATTGGTTGGGGTGTCATTCTTGGGCGTCTTGCCTGTCTGCATGAGGACGAGGTAGTCGGAGTCGTCGGTTGTAGCAGGAGGTTCCCTGCAGGACTCCCTCTCTCTCTCTCTCTCTCTCTCTCTCTCTCTCTGCCGAAGCATGTTAAGCGCATGTTGCGAAATCATTTGATCTGCGCAGATGCGGAAAGTACAGCAGTGATATGACATGTGTCGTTTCGTGTCGTAAAAGAACGATTGGTTTTTAGAAAATGCTCTCTTTGTCTTTTGTGGGTCTATTGCTTGCGCTCCTGCTGTCCTAGGACCTAGCACCACCCAAACTTTCAAACTAGGAAAGCTGATCTTGCAATCCCAGCGTCATGGCCACGTACTTCGTCGCGGCAGTTTGAAGCGGCAGAGCCTTTCGCGCGGCCCGCTTGTCTGGCTGGCCGTCGCGGTCAGTGGTGGGCCACACCAGGGCACTCCCAGGCTGGAGCGCTACCTGATCGCAGGTGCCGCTATCGTGGCATTGGGTGGAGGATCTCAGAGGCATGGTTACCAAGTTGGGAGGTTTACGTGTCCAACAGCTGCCCACCTGCTTTCCTCTACCCTCCTCCAGCAAGGGGAAAAGTAGATCACCACCAGCTCCATCAGGCAAAGCTCCCAGCTGCAGCATCACTGTGGCGAGTCGTTGCCCGCTCAGCCAAAGGCTCGTGTCATGTTCAGGCCTTGCATCTGCATGTGCGGCAAGGGCACCCTCGCCTTGCCGGTACCTGCTCCATATCAATCCCGCTCTGAGTCGCAGAAGCACACAAAAGCCTCTGACTTATAGGGAAACAATCTTGGAAAACTTCAAGTGCTACCACAGCTGGGGCTGAGCTGCCGGATCAATCGCACTGCTTCCACGTTCTCCATGGGAGCTTTGAACAGTTCTGCCGTCCACTGCCGCAGGGCCCTGGCTGTAGGATGATCCCGGTGCTCTGGCGAGCCTTTGCTGAGGTTTCGGGGTCTCGACTCCACTTCTCAGTTCTGTACAATGGGCACCCAAGAACGGAAGCCCGCCTTTGTTCAAGCAACGGTCAGGAACACCTGTGTGAATCGGGAACCTCTACACTCTTCGACAAGTAGACCGGAGATCAAAAGCAGGAACATGAAGCCCCATCTCTCTTTGTATATGTATGCCCTGCAGCTGAGCAGAGCTGTCCACGGCGAGCCCTCCAGGGCAGCCCCGCCACGCCGCGCTGAGGGCCGCCAGAGATCATTCCTGTCTACTTGTAGACAAGCGAACATAAGCCAGTATGGGCTTATGGAGGGTGTACTATTGTACAGAAGGTAGAAAATTGCAGGAGTGCAAAGGATGTCGGGACCGTATACTTAGTATACTTACTTGAGTTCTTCCCCTCAAGCTCCGAGTTTCGTTTCGTTTATGTCGGTTTGAGGCCATCGACCGCAAGGTCGCCTCCTTTGAAGCGGGCTTGCTGTCAAACTACCCTGGACCCATGATCGCCCCTCATGCTCGTTCCTAGCCCAAATTGGAATGGAATCACTGGATCTCCCACCCTTAAGTAAATCGCTTAGCCACACCTCTGTCACTCCTACTTCAAACCCCCTAAACAGGCTCCCAGGGGCTCATCAGCCAGGCCGACCAGTGAAGTCATCTGCAGCTCGGAGAGGACTCCAGTTGCCTCCACGATGGGTAAGGGCCAGCCCGCGACCAACTTGTTCCTGTGGCTCGCACGTATGGATAGGTCTCCAGGCTCTGTTGTTTTCATCGCTTTCGAGCACAGGGCATTTCGGTTAGAAACAGCTGAAGCGTGCAGCGCTCTGGGAAGGGGGTGGCCCCAGGCTTCGAGCGGCCCTGGGCTTCAGGGCTTGGGATCGAGAGTCGAGGTTATGATGCGCGTGCTCCGGCCCCCTTCGAGATGTGACGCGACAGGGATTGGCAAACGTCAGAACAAGAAATCCCTGACTGAGCCACTATTCTACCAGCTGGTCTTGGCTCGGTGGGTGGACCAAGCTGGTTGCCACTGCAGCCAGGGCTCTTGGTCTCGGAAGCCACGGATGAACAGGTCGACCAAACGTGCTCGGCCAAGTCGCCAGGCACCTTCAACTTCATCGCACGGCTTCGGGATATACAAGGAGCTGACGGTGGCAAACTTGTTGTGGCGACATTACAAGAAGATATAACGTCCAAGATGATACAAGAACCATTCAGCGGAAGATACCTTCGACACAAACCCAAAGGGCACAAGGAAGTAAGTTGCAGTTGAAACCACCTCTTTGCCAGCATAGCTTCGCGAAGCTGGGCCAAATCTTCCTCACTCCCCCGCTGAACACTCTTTAATGAGTAGCTCCTTTCACGGTGGCTGCCGTGAATCCTCAATCGGAACACTACAGCGTGAAGTTCATAGGAGCATCCCGAGATCCAAAACTTTCTCGGAGCGCGCCCCAGTGTTCGGCAAAGGTTCCTTTGAGGGTTGCTTTATTTACATTCCCAGATTACCAGTGGGAGGAGCTCAGGTTTTCAATAAAATCTGGATGTTTTCGAGGAGTCGAAGGTCTCGACATAGCACAGGGCGCATTGGGTTTCGACTCTCACACTCTCACAGCTTGCATGGCAGGCAAGGATCCACAAGTCTCGGGCGGGGTAGCATTGAAAGAGACTACAACCATCCAGGACATAGGTAGACCATAAATCCAAACACTGAACATAAGCACAGCCATCCCACGCACTGACAGGGCAGGTCGCAAAGCCCACAGCCCAGTACATCTCGAACAAGACACTACCAAACCGCAGCCTAACACTAACACCGCTACAAGAAGGTACTGGGCTACTCTCCTGCACCTTCCCCAAGACCAAGTTTTTGGCACTCGCACTCGACGGAACATTAGCGTCGCGGCATCCCGACCATCCTTCTCTCAGCCGAACTCAAGCATTAAACAATCCAGCACCACTATCAGCCAACTCAACTCACTGAAACAACTGGCAGGCAGCTAACGAGAAGGAAGCTCTCCTAGGTCTCCATTGATAAGTGCGGCGTGGCACAATCAGGTGGTAAGCCACAGCTCAGTGGTCAAACAGGCAGAGGGCCGAGTCATCGCATTGCCACATCCAAGGTAAACTGATACTGTGACTCCATGCAGTAAACATCTCAGGGGCGCCAGGATTGCCGATTGCCATGCATGACCGAACCAAATCGCTGCATGTCCTTCCAGAACCGGAATTGCTCGAAGATGATCTGCATCTTCGACATTGCTCTTCAGGCTGCGCTCGCGGACTACAGGCGGCCAGGCCAAATCCAGGACAATGTCCACCAAAATGACAGGAGGCCGCAGCAAGTTAGGGCTACCTTACAACTACTGTGGTCGTGCCTGTGTTTGTGCCCTGGCTCACAAGTAGCTCTCGCCACCAATGCGGCCCACGCTAAACCAAAGGTTCGGGTTCTCGTGGAAGACCATGAAGTGCCTGGCGGCGAAGTCGTAATTCTCCTCGTTCGTCGGAGTCGGCGGCAGTGGAGGCAGTGCGCCATCCGCGTGCTCTTTGAGCTGTCGGGCCTGCTTGACAATGCCTTCTATAGCGCCAGAGGTGGTGCATTACCTGGCAAGTAAACGACGCCAAGGCCGGAGAGTAGCCCTTCAGAAGCCAGGGAGAGGTGGACCGCCCTGGTGCTTCCTGTTCGACGGATAATGTTCCTCCGGCTCTGGTGAACTATCGCCGGCATCACGTCCACGAGGTCGAATGCAGATCAGTCGAGACGGGTCGCGCAGGAAGTCGAGAAGCGGCTCCTGTGCAGCTGGCATCTTCAGCTGCACCTCGGGCGACGTTGACACCTGTGCTTGCGCTCGTGGTGGATCCGGGACTGCGCAGGGTGTTTGTGTGCCGGCAGGGCCCGCAGGGCGTCCTTTTCCAGGTGTGCGACCAAACCGTCCGCCCGCGACTTTGATGGACGACTCGCCTTCAATGGGGCCGCCCTGGATGATCTCCAGCGCTCTCCACACAAGTCCCACGTGAGAAGCCGATTTTGGCATAGTCGTTTATAAGCAGCTCGGCAAGCACACCAAACTTGAACGGACCGGAAGCCGAAGCCATGGCTCGCACATGCTGGAGCTCCAAGCTTAGCATCTACATCGTGCATTCCTCTAGAGCGACATGTCTCACGGCCACCTAGGCTTGACTTGGGGGTTTGGGGCTTTGGATTAGGGGCGATGCATGTGCATGCTGAAATCATAAAATGACCGGTGGGCAAGCCTTCGGCCCGTTGAACCATGCTTTACGACTCAAACAATCATAGTCAATGCAAGCACGTCTATGCACGCTCTCCCCACCCACCAAAATTTCTACAAAGTCCTGAACCCGTAAGTTTCAGCGGAAGTGCAGCCCATAATCCCAGAACCCCGTGTCTGGAGTCTAGAGTCGAAGTCCAACGAAAGGATGAGCAAGAACTCCTCGCCCAAAGTCTCGTGCCTCGGCCGAAGGCACTCCGAAGAGCTCCGGCAGTGGAGAGCCGCCCTCTGCGCAGGCCCACGCGAGCCTCGTTTCCAGGTCTGAGAAGGGAGCACTCTCCGTTTCCTACTGTTGCATAGCCCAACACGGCTTCAATGAAGTTGCTGGATGCCACATGCTCGAACAACGCATGAAAGGACATAGAATGAATGCCAGCGTTCTGCAGCTCAGCTGTTCTGCGAAGCATAGATTCTGGTCCCGGCAGCAGGCGAACCGATAACCCCGGCACGTTCTCCAGATAGGTCTGCCTGAGTACATAAGGGTGCCAACTGCCTCCTGAAACCGTAAACCCTCGCACCTTTCGGGTTCTAAGGTTCAGGTCAAGCCGTAAACGCCTCGCTGCGTCATCAAACCGCTGCTGCGAGTCCCAGAACCAAGGCTCAGTGGGTCGAGTCAAGCTTCCAACTACGTCTATGAACTGTCTCGGACGATCCATCATGGATATGCTCTTCGGGATCTCTTCGGCCTAGTCAACGCGACAGCCGCTTTCCGTAGTGAATACCAAGATCCAATGCAAACTAGTCGGTCATCACGAGAAGGGCGGGCATACAACGGTCTCGGACATAGTTGACTCCTACGCATACCGTCGGACATCTACAGTCTACAGTCAGCTTCACCCAAGGTAGGAAATTTGGAAGACAGGTGGCCGTCCAACAGAACTCGACTCATGTGACAAACCCTCTGGGGGTCTAAACAGCAACCCGGTAAGATCTTCTCCGAACATCTTTGTTCTGCACTGCTTGACTAATGCAGCTGATAAGAGGCCCTGCGTTGCTACCTCCTACATCGCAGCCCCAGCGAGTAATTGCTGCTGAGGGGACAGGCCCTCCTTCAGGGTAAGGAAGCACTGCTTCCTGGGCTTCAAAGCTTCGGGTGCCGAGTGTCTCAGGGCAGCTGAACATGCAGGAAAGTACAAGCTTTCGCATGTCCTTTCAAAAATGACCTGTCCCGGACTGCTTTGACATGGCCGAGCATCGGTGCGCGTTGCACGGCGAGTGATAGTGCGAAGCCGAACTCCGCGATCTCAGACTCCGTCCCCTGCAAGATTCTGACATTCTCGCGACCCTTCTGCTGAAAGCTTCCATTCGCTGTGGTAGGTACGTTTGGGCCATCAAGCACTAAGCCCAATCCCGGTTCAAGGTGGGGTTTGAGGGTCTTTTTGTTGCCTTCTGCATGGCTGAACGAGGGTTTTGGTGGTTCAGGGTTGAAGCATTTGGCAGAACGCATCGAAGGGCCTCACCCAGCAGCATGGCTCCAGTCTCACCGACGACCTTGCCAGCTGTGCCAAATCCCCAAACTCAGCACCGGAGGTTGAGCCAAAATCAGCACCTTGTAGGCTTCGTCGTAAGTGTGGCGAGCTATCGCCATGCCTTCCAAGATCGCGGTCACCTGCTTGATGAATCCGTCGGGGTCCAAAGCACATGCAACGTGTCAAGAAGTGTGGGCAAAGAGACCGAAGATTTGCAACACGGATCCCTCCCTTCCCCCAAATGGCCTGATCCAGCGTCGGCTCTTTGAAGGCGTTCTTCAGGCCCTGAGTGGCTGAAGGTTCTGTTTGGCATGCGAGAGGTGCATCTCAACCAAAGAAATGTGGGGGGCGGGAGGGGGGGGGGCTTTTCCGGTCTTGAAGGTACATGGTTTCAAGCTTTGCGCAGTGGTGCCTACTGCCTCCCTCCCACCAGCTGAAACTTTGGACACAAATTCGTGCGGGGATGTGGCAATTTGTGGGCGTTGGCCTGAGAATCTCTGCCATGTCGTAGCAAATGCTTTTCCATCTCTAGGTCCTACCCTAAGCCAGTACAAGGCCAATTCCTTAAACAGCTTTGTCTTTAGTGTGCGACTGACTTTGCCGTCCGAGGCTCATAAACGACCACGGGCCTTGGTAGGCCATGAGTTGGCGCTGACAGAGTGATGACTCCAAGCTACGTCTACCTGACTCTCCCTGTATATGCAGAACTCCGCAAACATGTGTTTCAAGTTGTTGCTTTGTTGTTGAAAACGTCTGCTTGTCATTGTCTGCGGAGTATGGCATAAATTGTATTCTCTGAGAAGACTTTAACTCAGGGATCTTTGAACCCTCAAAGGCCACCACTGATGCTCCGGAGTGGCAGGAGCTCCTCATCAAGATCTGCATCGAAAGCATCGAAAAGCATAGCCAGGTCTTCGGACTCCAGGGGATCGTTCCAAATTCCTTCTGGGAGGGATGGAGGTCGAGAGTCTGGGCTTCATGCTCCTGTGAGCTTGCGAGCTTAGGCGGGTGTCCTTGATCCGCCCTAGCCCTAGAAACCCCAACGGCCCCAACACCTAAAATCCCACCCCCGGAAAGCTGCAGCCCCAAAGTCGCAGTCGCTCAGCCCTGCACCCCAGAACCCCACACCCGAACTACCCGCCCCACCTTGAACCCACAATCGCACACCCCATCATAAACCCACGATCTGGTTTCACAAGGGACACGAAAATCTCGAAGTCGTGGCCCACAAAGCCTGAAACCCATAGCTAAGCCGAGATGCCACGGCCTGGTGGTTTGAGGATATCCGGAAGCCATCCTCTCAAACACCGTCAATGCTACCGCTGCTAGTGATGCTGCTACTGCTACTGCAAATGCTGCGCTGGGCATCTTTGCGGCTATTCGTTCTTGCCCACGAACTATTGCCGCTCTATCACATGTAGTATCCTGCCTTATCTCCTATTCATTCAAGCAACCCCCGTAACTCGTTCGGCCTGCAATTTGCAGAAACAAAGAGGCTGATGGCCGCCAAGCAACTTGAAATCTCACCACCATATTGCTTGACGTACTCGTAGGCACCTGGTTTATGGGGAGCCCGAGCTGGAAGCACACCTGACTATACCGTGGAACTGTCCTTCTGGCACGTGCTGCATCTGGCAGCCATGTTCTAGAAGCAGGCAAGATTGTAATTTTACAGGGACTACAAAGCCGTGCTACTACAAAGTCCGGACAGAGGCACCTCCGTCGCCGTCGGAGCTGGGAAGTTTGCCCTTCCTTAGGACTACTCTCAGCAGGCCAAGCAAGAAACCGAAACAACAACGGCTCAGGGCTTGCAGTGGAACGGGTTCGGGGTTTGTAGGGGCTCAAGCGTCCACGTCTCAAGATGTCAGGAACAGTCGTGAGGCTGCTCATCACACCAACTAGGTATAACCACGGGCAAAACACCAATGTCCCTGCATCATGAGCAGGACGTGTCCGTGTGCCTGCATGCACTCCCCGGGAGCAAAACCCCATGTCCGACATCCTCACAACCCCTGGCAGGCAGTTAGATGGCGAAGGCAAACACCCATTCAAAGTCACAGACGGTCGCAGAAGGTCATGCTCCTTGGAACTTGAGGTCTGTGCCTGGCCCTTGGGCCCTGGGCTGAGTAAGGCGACATGGAGCCAAGGTTCCACCACTTGTGCCCATTGCGCATCTTGCGCATGTTGTCCACTGCAGGTTCAGGGGGAGGCAGAAGGAGCAATGGCTTGTGGGGCCTACTGTGACAGTTTTCCAAAATCGCTTCGAGTTACTGCTGGCATGACCATCCGAAGTCTTCCGCCCCCTCCTGACTTAAACATCCATCGCTCGATGTGGTGTGACTACCTGCTTCTTCTTCTTGCTCCCCCCCCCCACCACCAACAGAATAGAAGCCCGGTGGCCTTCCTTTCTCGCCTCCTCGAACTTGACCTGCTTGATCTTGCCGGCAGTCTGGCCATGTCGCGTGTGCTTGAAAATTGGGGCGTCTCCTCAAAGCTTGTGAGATTGAGCCGCTTAGTATCGAGCCGCCGCCCCAAAACGTCGTATTAGGTAAGAAGAGTCGTTGAGAGCTCTCACCCGGTTGCCTGTAAGCTTAACAGTAAACTCGAACCTGCGCATTGTGCACCTGGTCTCGCCATGATGATTGAGAAACATGAGGAGATGCATGATACTGGATAAGACTCGTAAAGCTAAGTTGTGATTGAGGATTAAAAATCATTCCCCCAAACCCTGTTCTCAGCTTCCAGGACGATTGCAGTGGTAAACTCGTCGGCAGGGCATCGATCATCTCTTCTATTCTCGCCAGCCGACGCCCCGGCGAGATTTTCTGCTTAACAATCCTCAGACATGAAGAATACAGTTGCGCATGCCGAGTCCAAGTCTTCGCGCTTGGAATACAGTTCGGAGCAGAAACATCAGGACGTCTAGGGTCTGGACCTCTCCGAGACAGATACACATGTGTTTCGCTGGTATAAAAAGTGTTGAACTTCGCAGACTTTTCGGCTGCTCAGCACCCACCACCTTCACTGCAGCTTCTGCCTGGCAAGCGCATGTCCCCGGAATACCCAGGTCATCCCACCTTGCCATATTTCCGAACATCATGTTCGGACCTTGCTGACTTCGGGTCTCGGTTTAGGAGGATCCGTCTATCTCATCTCTACAGTGCTGCCCTAAACTCCGGATTGTGCCCATGAGCTGCTACAGCAAAGGCCAACCTCCAGGCTCCACGTCGAATGCAATCGCAGCCTGGATGCGGTTTCGGCAGCTTCTTCGGGCCG